TGTAGGCTTTCGATACATAGATATCTGTAGCTTACCGTCTGACATTTGATTGAGTAGTAAGTCAAGGAATGGAAATTTCGATTCCGATTATAAATAACTGCAGTATTCATGAGTAGCATGGTTTTTAAAACAGAGATTGGCCATATTCCTACCAGGCTCAATTGATTTTCTCATTTCTTGTGAGCAGTGAAAGTCAGCCCGTAACCTGCATGGAAGTCCTGACTTTGTGGGAGGCTTTCGATTGAAGTTAGCAGGTTGTCATCTGTCTCCCCTATTTGCTCTCGAGCCAAATGCATTGACTGAATATTACTAAAGACAACACCTGAACAAACATGAATTGGCAATTTTTTCCAGCCTCAACGTGACCTTGTTGGCACAGTGATAATGCACACGCCTTCCATGCGATCGGCCCGGAGGTCGAATCCCGTACGGGACGGTGGATATGCACTACTGATAAGCTCTAATGAGATTGAAACTCGAGTCTAGTGCTTCTTAGTGTATGGTTGAATCGATGAACTGAGAATTGTGCGCGAAGGATAGTCAGTCAAATCAATAGACATCCGTGTTTATTAAAATCACGCATAGCATCAGATACAGTGTACTATGCCTTATGAGCTCCAAGCGTCTTCATTGATTCCTTTCTTTCGAAACACGCTCCAGAGCATGCATGTTTATCCTAAAAAATCAGCATTCCCGTGGCAAGGAAACTGACCAATTTTTCCGGAGTTTAATGACACATAGGCAGTATGTTAACTGATAATAGCGGATAAGCCACTGGTAGGTTTTACAACCAGGGAAATCGCAAAACCAAAAAGCAATCAAAGCAGAACCATACTATCAAGCGTCGAGATACGCTGGTCACAATGACGTTAGCTTGGTTAACTTCACGGTGTAATGAATGCCCTGGGCGTGTATGAATTGCTTCGTAAGGACAAAACAAAACAATGTTTACTGATCTTCGCAGTTCAAATATTGTTCTGCTGCCTTGCTAATCAACCTACAGTTAGTCACTCACAAGGACATTGGTCAACCACGTTGAATTCACGTGTTTAAACAAGTAGATTTTGTGCCTCCGAGACAGAATTGGTAACTACACGCATGAAAACAGGGCTGTCACCTCCCCGCCGACCCCCGCCGTTGACTTCAAAGTGAACATCATCATATCGGTCCCAAAGGACTACGGCTCTGTCTAAATAACTCATTGTTATTGGCTAGCATAAACGATTCGATTGCATTCCCTATGACAAGTATCGTTTGTTTATACCTGATTATAAGATTTGGTCCCTAAGAATCATCAAACGTTGCCTTTATGACTATTCACAGAATGGACAGAACCAGTTGAATAAACAGCCACCTCTAACCCACCCTCCCCCTATTCTTTTCCAAAGTAAAATTCGTCGTATAATTGACACAGATTGGTCGTGGATCATGGCCAATAATAAGAAACATCTCATCCGTAGCCAGATACTTGGTGTCAATATGTATCGGTGAATCACCGAATCGCAATAATGGATAAACCTTCCCCTGTTGTTCTCGTTTGTGCATGCGGTTTTGATCTCTTGATCGCGTTGGAGATGTTGTCACAGGCAATTGGCTAAGTTCAGCTCCCACAATCACAGTGATTGTGGACACAGTGGCAACTTGTGACAAATTTCAAATTTTGAACAACTGTATCTATCTCATATGGTGAAGGAGATCATTGAAGGAGAGGTCAACTGGCATACAGACCGGTCAGTCGAACTTTATTAACTTGCGATACCTACAGTGCACTCGCGAGCTTCTGTTGTCCCCATACGTTTGATGGTCTGTTACAATCCGAAAGGCCGGCTTTCCACTATGGTGCAGAGATATTACCACTTATGGAAAAGGGGAAAAAGATGAATTGTCAAAGTTCGACTACCACAGTCTACACTGCATTGCAAAACTCCAGTGAGTTAACCGCACAGGTCAAGTTGAGATTAGACTCCAGGTTTTAAATCTCGGTATTCACACACGGGATTGAGTGCTTGACATTCATGAACTACGGTGGTTGTGTAAGTAACCAAATAGCCTTACTCAAAATGAGGAGATTATGGAAGCAGTTAGTGTGTGGAAGAGGGCTCACGGTGATCAGAACGCGATCTATCCCTACGCTATGCAAACTCTTAGCTGGGTTCTCGAGTTGTAGTGGTGGTGACGTTGGTGGCCAAGTGATGTAATTTGCTGTCACCAACGTGCCTTGCTTGGGTCAGACGTTCAAATCCAGCCGATATTACCTAACTGTCAGCATCATTGTTGTCTGACCGAATACCGCGTAGAAGCTAGCTGGACTTATGTGGTTCGTCACCCCAAGTCTCGGGGTTTAGTTTGCCAGTTCCCATCAGTGAAGAACGGTACTTCCTCGCAACTATGAAGGGGGAGTGGGTTATTGAATCTCAGCTTTATCATAAAATAGTATTATATAAAAATATAGACTGAACCAGGCTACCGGATAGAAAGTGAGTTACCAAATATTCAACCTGAAAGAATATATTCCTGACAGAATGAGCGAAGAAAACCAGTGACAAAATCCCTTTTTAGTTATCCGAATCAAAAAAGCGTGAGCAAGAAGCTTCCGACAAGCCAGTCCACCGCAGAAAAATATACTACAAATTTACGGAACAAAGGAACTGAGGCAACCCAGTGGTTAAACACAGTAAAAGATTTCACTACCGAAAAGGAGTCTGTTACTCTTGATAGGACACTTCAGAAGGGCTGTGAGTTAGCTACTTGATTGTATCATTGGAAAAAATCCAAAAATGCGGAATCCCCTAAGGTTGTGATCACTCGAACTAAGCAATCAAGGA